GCTTCTTTAGTAGGTTGAACTTAAGCTAAAGAGTTCATTTCTCAATTTAAGGCCGCACGGATTCAGACTTAAGACTGAAGCTGTGACAATTGCCTCTTGCTTCTTGGTTTGGCTATTGGCCAAAAGAAAAGTCCGACTTTTGTGAACTCTTTAACTTCTAACTTTTGTGGTTCAGCGGAAAAAAACTTCCAACTTTAATAGAATCCAAAATATTTTCTTGGAAGGTACATGTACTTTAGAATAGAAATTTAAAAATAATTTGTTTGAATGCAACAAATAGGACAAACTTATATGAAACATATAATTTCATGTCATATTTTTTTCAAATGTTAGTTGTACCGCCAAAGTAAGCCCCATCTATTGTACATTTTTCTCCATATCTGTTGATATTATTGTATAGGTTTGCAAATCTATAATTATTGCAAATTGGATTGCCAAGCATCTCAAAATGAAACCTCCGTTTAGATGATTATGCTTGTAATCCATCCATACCTATTGAAATTGTTAACTCAAATATTCAAATAGTTTTTCATGAACATAAGTTAAATGATTAAATTGTTTTTGCTTTCTCATGTTAATTATTTATATGCATCAGTTATGATTTTGAATTTGTAGATTCTATGATACAATCTTTTATCTTTTTTCTCCTGGATTTATTGTATTTCATTCTTTCAATACCATCACGTTGCATTTTGTTTTTTATTACGTTTCTGCAACGGACACTTATCTTGTATATATAACAGTTCCTATATTCCATAGGTAAACCAAACAGGATAAACTAGAAAAACATACCCCAGGTATGGCTATCTCGCCAAGATCAGATCCCACTAGCCGTGGCTCGTCATTAGAGTCGCCCTTACTCCCTCCATCAAAGGAACCCGGATGGGAGCCCATACCCGGATCGGAACCCGAGAAGCTCTCATAGACGACTTGTGACAAAAATACGGTGGAGAATGCGGATCCTGTCAAATGGGCCCTGGAAGCTTTCCACACCATGGCCATAATATTTGCAGACCAGGAACCTGCTTGGCGGTGTATAAAAGGGTCAGGGTGTAATGAGAAGGAAAGCAGCGTTTGTGGGCTTGAACAAGGGCCTTGGGAATGGAAGGGTGGTTCAGGAAGCTCCACGGTGGCTCAGTGGGCTTCTTCAGGTCTTGTATTTTGGCGGCTGTATGATTGGTTGCTGAGTTTGTTTCCAGCTGATCTTTCTCTTTGGTTCTTATCTTGTTATCAGTGGTTTTTTTTTATTTTTTTCACTATGTTTTTAATGTTTTACTTTTTCTTTTATAAATAGTGTTCAAAACATTACCTAAATTAACTCATTTTGGAATAATCTTAAAGGCGTATTCGAAGTAATTATGTTTTGTTTTATTATAAAAGAAAATGTAATTTATTAACATAAATGGTGCACTAAATGCATTTCTGGACCTGAAAATTCAGAAAAATAAAGAAGGGTGTGATATACATGTCAAGGTTTATATATACGGTAAAATTAAATATTATAACGATAAGATTAAATCAATGAAAAAAATGTGTTTAATGCAAACATGGTTTCAATAAGATTAAAAATTACAATGAGGGTAAAATTAAATACTGTAGCATGAAAAAAATGTGTTTAATGCAGACATAGCAATGAGCGGAGATTTTTCATTTTATACTAAGGCAATCTACTTTCTTAAAGTCGAGTTATTCACTGAATCCTTCTCCCTTTCCCTTCACTCACATACGAAAGGGTAATTAAGGCAACAGCATCGTAGCATGCTATCTAAATGCATCCCACGATGCAATTAGCCCAAAAAAGAAAAAATAAAACTAGATTTGACAAAATTTGAGTTGCCATGGAATCCAAAGTCTCCACGCAAAGTGATTAGAAAAGAAATATATTATTTTAGAAAAAAAAAACTCAACAACAATATTTTAGTTATTTTATAATTTAACAAAATTATATTTTTGGATTAACAGTCATCTAGATAAAGATTAGTTATTAAATGATAAAACAAAACTTTTTTTTTCCTTTATAAAAGAATAGTTATTTGTAATGATCAGCTGGTGCATGTTACGAGACAAAAATATGAAGCAAAGAGGCGGTGATAACTTTATTTATGCATACGAGAGACACAAAGCAGGCAAAGAATTGGTTATATATATATTGACTGCTGCTGTATGTTTGCCACTGAAGTTTCTCTTGTCATGGTCATATGTTTAAGAACATCTTGTGCACACGTGAGAAATAGAAAATTGGAAAATTTTTAGTCATCTTACTGATCATGATCAAAATGTAGCTTGACTTACTGCAAAACAGACAAAGCAGCATGATTGGACCACCCTAGTTAAGTTTCAAGTGATATTGGGTAATTCTCAATACAAAATAGTGATATAATATAAAAATAATTTTTTGTATTTTATATATATTAGATATAAAATAAATATATATATACATAAATTACTAAATTTAATATGAGACAAAAACAATTTAAAATTTAGAATTTGAATATTTGTAAATCTAAAAATAGTAATAAAGTCATTAACATTTGCTAAAACACAAGAATATATATTTTCTGGATGATATAATGATAATTTTTCTCATGTTGTCAGATTAGCCTGGAATTTAAGCTTTAACTATCATCACAGACATTAATTTCTACTATACTTGGATTTGCTTCAATTTGCCTTAAGTTGAATTAGGATCAGCACCTTAATATGTGATTAATTGGTATTGTTTTTAAAACGAATGTTGTGATAGTGTTAATCATTTCTTACTTGTAATCAAACTCCTAAATCTAAAATTACTTTCACAAATCAAATGAAAAATTAATTTTTTAATAAATTTTAATATTTTATTAAGAAGATAAATTTTTTAAGCGACCAATCATATCTAATAAAAAAATATTAGTAGCGATTTTCTCTGTTTTAAGATTTTTTAAATTTTCGTCTAATGGTCTCTAAAATCATTATGACAAAAAAAGGTGTTTAAAAAGTGTGATAAAAAAATATGAATAAAAAATTTAAATATTTAATATTCCTGTGAAAAAGTGTTTTAAATAATTGAAATATCTAAAATATATATAATAAAATATTAGAAATATAAAGTAATATAGTGTTTTCTATCTCAAAAGTATTTTTTCATTGCAAAACACCTCTTAAGTAGCTTTTTGATTTGGATTACGAAACCAAAGTTTTAAATTGAAAAGCCATATTTTTTTTTGTTGTTTAACATTGAGATTGATTTAAAATGGGCTTTTAAACGCAAAAGTTATTTTCAATATCAATACTAAATTAGGCCTAAGTTAGATATCTTGATACCAAAAACAATTATATATTTACAAAATTTGTCTATATATGCTGCCATGACTTCTAAAATTGACAATTTGTTTTAATAAAGAAGATCAAAATCTAATAGAAATACAAAAAAAAGGAAAATTACAAGTATCGATGATCAAACCCAAATTTTACAGTAATCTTGATCAACCATTTGAGGGAAGTGGATGACCATTTAGATTAAGCTATAAGTTCAAATTAACTTTTATATTCATTTTAATTAGGTTGATTAGTAAATTGAATTAAGAGATTCAAGTGATTAATCAAATGTTAATCCCTTGCTAAAAAAAGTATAAATCATGTGTAGGAATTCTTATGATTTTTTTTTGGTGCATGAATTCTTAAGATTTTCATATCCATATGTTAATTGCTTGCTAAAAAATCGAATCAAGGAGATTATAAAAAAAAAAATCAAAGATTCTAAAACCGTAAATAGTTGTATTGGGTACTAAATAATATAAATCAATAAAAGTTATAATTGCATGTAAAAAGCATGAATTATTTCATTATTTTAACACCAAGCACTAGCGAAAGAGAGAAATCATGCCTATCCATGATTAAATTATTAATCATGTTTATAATATAATATAATATAATATAATAATTAAGATCAACAAAAGACCAAAGCATAACTTGCAATTAAATTATTAGTGCAATTTGCAAAGTGGGATAAGGTTCCTGAAAACCATGTCCAAATTAGGTGTCACAGCTGATCAATGACTTTTTTTTATTGGCTTAATAAATTTTTTTAATAAAAGAAATTGTAGTTTAGGGATAAGAGAAATGGTTATAAGATTTGAAATTTCAAATCTGTTGGGCCTATTAAAAAATAATTATATATAGGTTCAAAAATAATTATATGAAATAACTGATCCAAATTTTGAATTTAAATCTTTTTTGTTCATGCTGAAATAAATCCTCTGTGCTCAATATTTGATTCCCTTCCAGGGATCTTAAGGGATCAGCATGCTGAAGTAACATTTTTTAACCTTTTTTAAAAATGATATAATTAAAATTAACAATTTAGCTTAAAATCAATCAACAATATTAGTGAATATATAAAAAGAAAAAAATCTAACTGGAATATAAAATTACAAAAAAAATTAAGATTTACTCAGTATGAGATCAACACTCTTTTTCATGTACATTAGGAATTTCATCTAAAATCAATATGAAAAAAACACTCAAAATTAAACAATATGTCACGTGAAACTGAAGATTGGTGTGGGATAATACTATTCAACAGCATTATCGTGTGTATTGGAATTGATGGACGTCAATTGAATGCCTATAAATACATGCAACTCAAAAGCATTTGGATCACACAACTAAAATTTTTCATATACACATCAACAAAATTAGTAAATTCATTGGTGATTTTTATCTATATTATAAATGACCATCTGAAAAAAAAAATTAGAATCCGTCATTGGATAAATTCCTAACATATATAGGTTTAGACAAAATTCTATTGCAAATTCAATTTCAAAGTAGAAAATATAAATTGTATTGCATTTTTTTTTGCTCAGCCAAAAATGAATTTTATTAATATCAATGCAAGTTCCAAGATTACATTGACACATAGCATTTCAACTTGACTTCCCATCTTTGACGCAATTACCAGTAGTCTCTAAGACACATCCTGGACCCTATAACTCAGCCAAGTTTTTAACAAAAAGACACTACAACCAAGCAACGAAAAACTCATTTGAATTAACCCCCAATTTGACTAATGCATCTGCAAAAGAGTTTGCTTCCCTGAAGGCAAGCACAAAACCCACCATTCCAATACTTTTCTTCAAACTATTAATTTCATCCAGTGTACTCCATAATCCCCATGGTCTATTTCCTCTGTTGTAGATCCAAGATATTGTCACTATGGAATCTGATTCGATGATTAGAGCTTCTTTCTTGTACGACTGTGAAGTTTTGAACAACTCTGATGTTTTTTTTTTACAGCCTGCCATGTTGGAATCCTGAATACCAAGAGGACCACAGAAAAGTCTTCTAATGTTACTTTTGGAGTCCCTTAAAGCACCTCCACATCCAGCTGTGCCAGGCTTACCCCTTTTCGATCCATCTACATTGAATTTCAGAATATTCGACATTGGACATAGCCATTGTATTGCATTTTCAATAGAATGAAATTCGAGTAAGGATGTTTATGAAGAAAATATGGAAGTGATGTCCAAGGAAGTAAAATCGTAGTCCAATAATTGAATGTCTATCTACCATCCACATTTTTCATGAAAAAATTGTGTTATAGTCAAGAAGAAATTTTTTTAACACAAAATATTCATTAAATATTGTAATAATAATAATTATTATTACTATCAATCTTTCTTAAGCGACCCACTTTTTTGTCATCATATCATAGGTTAGAACTATGCCCTATCTTTTCAAAAAGAAAGACTTAATTGTATATATGTCTGCTTGCACATAGTTTGTGCAAAATTTGGAGAATTTAAAATTTAATTCAATTAATTTACATATAATTACATTTAAAAGATTATTTTTAAAAGAAATATAACTGAACAAATAAAAAAAAAGAAAAATCAAATAGATTTGTTTGGTGGAGATTAAGATTAATTAAAATAACTTCTCTTCGGTTTCATACGGGGGTTGAAACAATCTATATTTGTCTTGAGTTTTTATGAAGGAGATTAACATTATTTGTTAAACTAGATTTTAAACTCGTGCTTCGTTAAACTAGATTAACATTGTTTGTTAAACTCAACGTGTGATAAGAAAAGTATGGTTAAAAATTTTAGATGTTTAGTATTATTAACTGTTGTAAATAACTGAAATATTTAAAAAAAAAAACATAAACAAATAAAATATTAGAAATATAGGGTAATATAGTAATTTTATATCTCAAAAGTATTTTTCACCGCAAAAACACCTCTTAAGTAACTTTTTGATTTGGGTTTTTTAATCTAAAAAGCCTTTTTTTTTTTTTTGTTTAACATTGAGATTTTCTCAAAAACAGCTTTTAAACGCAAAAAACTACTTTCAATATCAATGCTAAACTAGGCCTAAGATATCTTGATACCAAAAGCAAGAATTAAATACTTACAATACTTGTTTACATATGCCTCACATGACTTCTAAAATTCACTATTTTTTATAAAGAAGATCAAAGTCTAGTAGAAATACAAAGAAAAGGGAAATTACAAGTATCGAGAATTAAACCCAAACTTTGCAATAATCTTGATCCACCATTTGAGGGAAGTGGATAACCATTTAGATTAAGCTGTAAATTCAAATTGACATTTCTTTTCATGTTCATTTGGTTGGATTAGTAAATTGAATTAAGAGATTCAAGTGATTAAAGCAAAATTTAATTCCTTCCTTAAAAAAGTAAAAATCATGTGTAGAAATTCTTAAGATTTTGATGGTACATGAATTCTTAAGATTTTCATATCCATATGTTAATTGCTTGCTACAAAATAGAATCGAAGAGACTATAAAAAAAAAAAAAATCAAAGATTCTAGATCCGTAAATAGTTGTAATGGGTACTAAAATAATAGAAATCAATAAAAGTTATAATTGCATGTGAAAAGCATGAATTATTTCATTATTTTAACACTAAATACTAGCAAAAGAGAGAAATCATATCCATCCACGAATCTACTTCCGTCTATAATATAATATAATATAATATAATATAATATAATATACTAATTAACATAACAAAAAAGCAAAAGCATTACTTGCAATTAAATTATTGGTGCAATATGCTAAGCTTTTAACAAATATTGTATAAATCAATTAAGCTAAACTTTGAATTTAAATCTTCTTTGCTCATATTAAAATAAATCCTCTTTGCTCAATATTAGATTCCTTCCGAAGGATCTTAAGGGATAGGTAGGTTGAAGTAACATGTTCTTATCCTTTTTAAAAATGGTATAATTAAAATCAATCATTTAATTTAAAATCAATTGATAATAGTGAATAGATAAAAATAAATCTAACTAAAATATAAAATTACAAGAAAATTAAGATTTAATCGATATTAGATAATACTACTCAACACTCTTTCTCATTTAGATTAGGAATTTCATCTAAAATCAATTTGCAATAGATGAAAAAACTCAAAATTGAACAAAATGTCACGTGAAACTCAAGATTGATGTGGGCCAATACTATTCAACAGCACTATTGTGTGTATTGGACTTGATGGATATCAGTTGAAAGCCTATAAATACATGTAACTCAAATACATTTGGATCATACAAAACTCTAAGAGCTATAGCACATCAAAAGGTTATAAACAAAATCTCCTAAAGAAATGTCTTCTCAAATTTATGCAAATCCTGTTTCAACTCATGGTGATAACATGTCCAACAAAAGTCGCCATTTGGCCAAATTTAATCCTCAATTTTGGGGGGACATTTTTCTCTCTTTTCCTTCTGAAATGGTATGTAAGAAAACCTCTTTCAATTTATGTATTTGTGTGAGGTTCGACTAATATTATTTGCTGCCTTTTAATTTGTCATACTATTGGCAAAAATTTTGATTTTTTTTTTATTTCTATTGCTTCTTCGTTCTTCTCTTATTACTTCTATTCTCTAATTTTTATGCATAGTATTGAGGAACTTCTATTAAAGTGGTCTTGTCCCACTACATTTTTTATTTCTTGTGATTTTAAATTCAAGTTGGACTCATTTATCAATAGTTAATTGATTTTACATTGAACACTTAACACGGTATCAAAATCCATATTTTGTTCTATTTTTTTTGTTTATTACTCGTATGTGTTACCCTTTTTATGTTTATCACCTATAATTGATTGGTTTAAGTTAAATGCTTAACAATTCCCAATTTTTTTAGTAACACAGTAAGTTTTTAAAATTAATTAACTGAAAGGTTTTCACACTTCAATAGGATATGGATGCTAAAACTCAACTACAGTATGAAGAATTGAAGCAAGAGGTGAGGAGAATGTTGGCCACAACTATAGATAAACCATCCCAAAAATTGCACCTAATAGATGCAGTCCAACGTTTAGGTGTGGCTTACCATTTTGAGAAAGAGATAGAGGATGCCTTAGAAAATATATATCATGTTGATTGCAATGATATTGAGAGTGATGATGATCTCTACACTACATCTGTTCGATTTCGATTGCTAAGAGAGCATGGCTTCAATGTTCATTGTGGTATGCCTTAATCTTCAATGGATCAATTTCTCTGAAAAAATCTCAATTATAAGGTCAATTTATGCTGTCAATCACTGTACTCAACGAAATTTGAGATTTAATCTCTCTAGTATAATTCATAAAAATGCAATTCTCTTACTGAATTGATTTGATAATTCTCATTCAATCGTTAACTCCATTATAATTCGTAGGTCAAATTTACTAATGTGTTTGTTGACTTGCTGACGTGGTGATTGAGCAGACTTATTCAACAAGTTGAAAGACGAGAAAGCAAACTTCAAGAAATCCTTGATTGGTGATGTGAAAGGCTTGCTAGAATTGTATGAAGCTGCAAACCTTCGAGTGCACGGAGAAAATATCCTTGAAGAAGCTCTTGCTTTCACCACCTCTCATCTAAAATTGGTAGAAACCATGGCAGACTGTCCTCTCTCAAAGCAGGTTGCTAATGCTTTAAACCGACCCCTTCGCAAGAGCTTGCCAAGGTTGGTTGCTCGGAGCTACATTTCCATATATGAAGGATATGGCACCCAAGACAAAAATTTAATGAAATTTGCAAAGTTAGATTTTAAGATGGTACAACATTTGCACAAGAAGGAAATAAGTGAGATATACAGGTAATTAATAGTGCGATATATTTTCTAATATAATTTGTTTTGTTTTTTTTATAATACATCAAATCTGAAGGTGTTCTCAAGTTTTATATGGTTTTTTTTTCTTTTTTTTTTTTTTGCGGATGCATTCAGTGGAAGATGCAAATTAATAGGTCTAGAAAATAGGAAAGTTTGAAAAAAATTTTCCCTAGACAAATTTTCCTCGGACACTCTCAAAATTTTTTCTTAAACATATCTTTCTTAATTCCCTAACTACTATACTCACCGCTATTACTCAATACCCAACCACAGTCACAGTTAGCTAATACCCAGCATCCATAGACACTCACTGCAATAAGTGGACACCCCGAAAAAATCCTAAATACACCATTGGGTGTGTTCCCTTCGTTGATTTTATGCCATGGTTGTGTTAATCAATTAGTTATCTTATTTCAGGTGGTGGAAAGGCTTAGATGTTGCAAAAAATTTTCCTTTTATACGAGATAGATTGGTGGAGTGTTACTTGGGGGTGGTGGGAGTGTACTTTGAACCCCATTACGGCTTTGCTAGAACATTCATGACAAAAGTTTTAGCCTTGACATCAATTTTGGATGATATGTATGATGCATATGGCACACATGAAGAACTTAAAATCTTTACAAAAGCAATTCACAGGTTATTCAAAGCATACCCACCTTTACTTCAAATTATTGGAAGTAAAATTTGACTGAATTATAGACACAACCATTTGATTTGGATGACTCGTAGGTGGGATATCAATTGCATCAATCAACTTCCGGATTACATGAAATTGTGCTATAGTGAACTCCTAAATGTTTATAAAGAAATGGAGGATTTGATGGCCGAGAAAGGAAAATTATACCGTGTTCAACTTGCGAAAGAAGCGGTATATATGATATATATTTTTTCTTGGACACTATACTTTGCAATCATCATTAACTATATGAATTTTATGTGTTTGCTGATTTTTTTTTGTTCATTAGATGAAACAACAATGTCAAGCCTATTATGTTGAGGCCAAATGGCTCCATGAAAATCACACACCAACTCTAGAGGAGTATATGTCAATTGCATTAGTTACTTGTGGTTATCAGATGCTTACAATTGCATCTTTTGTTGGCATGGAAGATACCATAACAAAAGAGACCTTCATTTGGGCATTTAATGACCCAAAGATTCTTAGAGCTTCAACAATTATCTTCAGGCTGATGGATGATATTACTGGCCACAAGGTAATGATTATTAATTAGTTCGATTATTAAAAAAATGAAATCAGCAAACAATTATATGGTTTGTTTGTAGAATGTTGGACTTTTAATTCTAGTGATCATGATT